TCCGGATCGAGGCGAATCCATAGGACGGGCGAGTCACTGAAATGGAGATATTGTTATTATATTTCATAAAATATCATTGAAATAAATTATTTGACGCTTAACTTTGGTCTTATGAAGAAGTGTACTACTTTTATGGTATTTATCAGTCTCATTGTAAGGATTGTTTATAAGGGGGGAAAATCATTGAATGACTGCAGTTCCCGCCTGGCTAAAGATCACCCAGTTCCTTCTCCTGCACGTCGAGCCGGAGCCCCGGTAACCCGTTAGGTTCTCCGCGACTCCGAATCGGCATCAACAGGCCTTGTTGGGCCCCATCTGTGGTGGTCTTTGAGGCGCGCGCGGAACGCTCGGCGCCGTACGCTCGGGTCTGTTTCTGGTCGGACGGGGAGCCACCCATGCTCGCCGTCCGCAGGCCCGCGCTTACGGTGGCCGGAGATCGTCCCGCGATCCCCGACGCCCGGTGTGTCCTTCGCGATGGCTGGGTGGCGAGGAGGCAGCGCTTCGCTGCCTCACGCGTCCCGCCTCCTCATTAGCTAGCATCCATTGTACGGATAGGCTTCTCCTTCCAAAGAGAGTCTATTGACGGCGGGAGTCTCAACAGTGTTAACAGTATAAATCTTTCACTTCGTCATATTATCAGATATTTCATTAACAGATTTTCGACTTTAATACAAAATGATAAGGTTAAAAACCCATTACCTACAGCAATAAAAAAAAACAACTTACTCCATAGCGGACAAATCCATATCGACCTCTTCCCCGGTACAGAGGGGAATCTTCTTCTTCTTATTCCGGCGGCTTTTGCTGTGGCATGTAATGTCTGCCTTGACAACAGTGTTCTCAATCTGCAACATGTGCTTAAAGGTCCCGTCTAACTCCTGTAATTGAACGAGCAATGGCCCCACGTACTTCCTTATGCCACGCTCGTGCACGCAGTCTTGACGGATTTCTAACTCCACTGTATTTCTGAAAGGTTCGAAAAAAGTTACTGTGATCAGATGAATTTGTATATACAAATAATTTTAAAACAGATAGGAAAATTTACTTGTATTATAAAATCTATAGACAGAACAGAAAGTACTCACCTTTTACGATTGAATACGGACGTGAGTTGGAATTTAGCATGACCACCGGTCCGTACCCACTGGTCGACGAACACTGCCATATCTTTGCCGGTCACAGTAAATATGGCCTTCACGAATAGATTGGTGGAAAGCAATAAATGTCCCCAGAGCCCGCTGCCAATCTTCGTGTTGGCCGCATTGGTTGCTAACGACAACTGCTTGTTGAAAACTTGCAGCAACAACTCCTGACCGATGCGTTGCTCCAACATTCTTAGTACTAAGTGAGATTTTTTTCGCATAATCTGAAAGTAAAATAAATTTAATTCCTAGGTTTATTTTAATAAAAGTCAAAATCGCTTGAACAGCCAGTAAAAAGGTTTTCTTAAATGTTATTTTAGACAAAGTATAGCACACAACACATATCATGTATGTTATTTGTATATCTTACCTCAATATACCGCGGGGACATAGTATGAACGTTTCGGACGGGGAAATAGAACACGTCCTTAGGTTCGACGCGCGCCCCACTAGCGGGCGGCTGCCAGGGATCCAAGACTATACCGCCATATTGTTCTTCATAGCCGACAACCTGGGGAAACACACATCAAGTGTTAAAAATACCATACATAGTGTTTCTGCGAAGAATTAGGCTCATGTAAAAGAACACTAACATAAAAATTTCTTCATATGTTTTAAGTATTAATATCCTAAGTATGTGTTGTATGGATGCCTTACCTCTTGCAATTCCTGATGAATAATATACCGGTACTCGTTATTCCCAAAACATTTCTTCGAGTATAACCCACACATATAGTCAGGTATCCCCTTGGCTAGCCAGAGATCCGACCAGTTCTGCATCGTGATGAAGCACCCGAAGAATTGTTCGGCCACGGCTTGTGCCATGGCCTTGCGACTGATGTATGTTTGGTCTATGATGGCGATGGAATGAAGGAGGTGGGTACTTAAAATTGACATCGTAGTGTAGGCTGTCGCGTCATCTTCAGTCTGAAAGAATGAGGCACTTATATTGAAACAAGCTACTTCCGCGCGGTTTCACTCACTGTATTAATCGTAGCGTGATAGCCTTCCTCGATAAATTGGCTATCCAACACAGAATTTTTCAAATCGGACCAGTAGTTTCAGAGATTAACGCGTTCAAACAAAAAAACAAACTCTTCAGCTTTATAATATTAGTTTAGATAATAAACTGCTTAAGGACTGTTATAGTAATTTCATAAGGTGTATAGGTCAGATCATAATCGTAAAGTTATGTACATATGAACTAACCATGATGTATTACTATTATTACTAGTTCTAGCAGGGGCCTAAGTACGAGTTTTTTACGTAGTACGCGTTCGTAGCTCTGATTGGCCAGGTGCAATGAACCGACCAATCAGAGCGATGAACGCGGTCTCGTTTCGATTACTTTAAACGTAAAACAAACTCGTACTAAGGCCTCTTGTGTTTTGCCACAAAAATGTTGAATACAAAAAGTTGTACTTGAAAAGATGAACTAATATAAAATATTCCAGTAATTACAATAATATTAATGTCTCTTTATGCTAACCTCGTCAACAAAAACTTGTTTGTAGCATGGGTAAGGATATCTAGTAGAAAGAGTTTCTTCATAAAACTCAAACGCTTCATGTAAATATCTCACAGTATTCTTCAATATCTGCAGCAAGTTGGGCAAGCAATAATGTGTGACTTCATTCATAAACGGATCCACATAAGTTTCAAAAGGCCTGGAAATAAAATATTCAATTAAAATGTCATGAATTTTATGCGAAAAAAGGCAGATCTATTTAGCACAGATTTATTTTTAGAGAGAATTTAGTTTAGTATTTGGTACAAAAATAGAAAATATCATCAAGACTTTGACCAAACTCCAAATTCCCAAGCGGTCACCAGTGACCACTCTACACTAACTTCGTTATAGACCTTATTGTTGATGTTTAGAGACTACTTTTGTATGACTCATTTTTGGGGATTTTCAGTATGCTTTATCAACATACTAATATGCAATTCCACTTGCAACCATAATATGATTAATTTCGAAGTTGGGTAAATCTTTAAATAACTGTAAAAATATATACAGTAGACAACGTAACTCACCCAATAGCTAAGGCAATATTAGGAGCACAAGCCGGAGTGTTAACCAAATAATGAAAGGTCTTTCTGCGATGGTCCGGAGTATACACTACTTCAAACAGTTCTCCACAAGACACCGCGGTAAGACTTTCATCAACGGTAAATTCCAGTTTCCAAGTGCAAGGCTCCGCAAAACTGTCAACGCAAGGAAACCAGAGTCGTGCTGAGTGACCGTATGTGAACATGTGAGCTGATTTCTGTAAATAAAAATATATGTAAATATTCATATAGAATGCTTTTGGAGATAATTATATTACTACGCAATTTGTTATACAAAAAAAATATAATTAGTTAGAACTTGAATAAGCCACAATGAAAATCTTTATATTTTTTCTAATTTGTTCAATATTGTGCAATAATTGATTGTCATCATTAAGACTTGATTTCCTAATTGGCAATACAAAATGGCTAGCAGTTATTCGGTGAGATGAAGATTGATTTCATTAGTCTACTAAGACCTCTCTAGTGACGATGATGAAGAAGTAACTTCTCATTCCTCACCTCTACTAAAGTTCCTTCACCCTCTGGTACAACAAAGTGCATTCCTCCCTGAGGAGATTCAAGGGAGAACTCAATACCAATGCGGAGTCCTCTCCCTTCACCCACTAAGTGAGCAGCTTCTTCTGGAATCTGGATATGAAGTTCTCCGGAATTGTGATCTGGATCTATCTTTTGGGCAGCAGATAAATGAAACTGGGAGAATACTTCCAAGGATCTCCTGTAGAAAATGGTGATTTTGAAAACGGGGTGCATAAATAACATGGTCTATTTTAAAATAAGAACAAATGTGTTAAATAATCATGGTCTATTTTGAAATAAAAACAATTGTATTTGATTTATCCTTTCCATTGTTAATTTCAATGTGTGGTTAGACATAGTAAGTTAGACTACTATTATTATGTGATCAATGTTTGTTTACAATAATTAATGAACAGACTGTAAGCTACTTACGTATTGGGGTCAGCTTGACAAATGTCCAAAAATGGATCAAAGTATTGGAAGTTGGCTTCATACTGATCATTGAGGCAGACGCGATAAATTCGACATTGTTTAGCATTCAGTCGAATATAACGGAGATTGTCCTTTAGAGGGACGATTGTAAGCTCCACAAAACCCTGTAATTGATAATGGGTTGATAAACAAAATGATACTTTTTGTACATAAGAAAAATGTGATTACTTTCACAAAAAAAAATACTTACAATAACGCTCTTCCTTTCGAAACTTATTCCAGTCAAACTGAGAATTTGATGGGCTGTAAAGAAAGTGATATAAAATCAGTAAATATCTCTTTATTTTAATGCACAAACAGTGAGTCTGTATACAAACAAATAAAATTCTATGATACTTATAATTTAAATGGACGACAATTGTCGCCCGTGCGCTCCTTCTTCATTGTTGATTAATGTTTACAGTCATTTCTTGTTAAAAACAAGCTGATATATTATTTATTTGACGAAATATCAGAAGATGTACCCCAAAACACCTCACAAATTGGTGAACATGTCAAAAATGTCAAACGAGGTTAACATCATAGACAAAAGATAAAAGATTTTTTACAAGCTTTTTAAGCGCGGATATAAATCTTTTGACACCAGTTTATAAAAGATAGGTAAAATAATTATTTATCCAGGACGTTGTTTATCATAATTTTTAATTCCATTTTTATAACGCCCTTGGTTCATTAATTATTTTATGAAAAGAAAAGTTTAATGAAGGTGACTAAAATGCTCGTTTTGACCTTACTAATAAAAATAGTAAAACTACTCTGCGGTCACCTCTAGAACTGTCAACAAGAAAGAGAGGAAATGAATGAGGAGGTCCATTGCGATATTGCGATTATTGGTGGAATATTCTAAAATTCGTAGCCGCTGGAGACTGTGTTTGAACAATTTGTGTTTTGTGTGAAAGTTGTGTTAATAAATGACAGAAAAATAACCAGTTTACATGTTTATTTTCGCTTTAACTGATCAAAATGTGGGACTCACCATACCTGACTTGTTTGTTTCTGTATATATTTTCGTTTCAAATTATTGTCACTAATTCACGCACTTCTAATATTTGGAAATTGAATGCGGAAGGAGACCAGATCGTGGACGGTAGTACACTGTCTCAGGTCAGTCAGAATTCTAATAATATGTCGGTAAACTTTTATATAATCAATGCACTACATATTCATCAAACATATGTACCTTTCAATCTATTATTCTAGATCTTATTATGCCCATGTTTACCTTGGATTATTTTTTAACGTTATAATTATAAATGAATGAGGTTTCTATCATAATATAACGAAACTGCTGTTTTGGTATGAAAGACGAAACTTAATTTGTGAACTACTTTTAGGATGAATCTGATAAAACTCGCATGAATGAAGAAGACCCTATCTTCAACATAGTAACGTCGACAGTGTATTATGGGAACACATGGACTAAACATGGCTTTGACATGTTTTGTACAGACTGCCAAATATATGAACAACAGAGGTGAGTTATGAAACCAGAAATACTACCTTTATTTTCTATAAAAATAATTAAATCTGACCATACATCTACCCATGAGGTGAAAAGTTTAAAAAAAAGTTTCTATGCAATGCCTTGGAAAAATAACTTGTTAGATATGAAGTGACAACCATACATTTTGTGTTAATCACAACATGTGTGTTTAGCAATTATTTTAAAAAGTAAAATTTGTTGATGATTATAAACAGTTAGCTTCGTTAGACAGAGGAATACATAATATAGGTAATACAACTTTTGAACTGTTCTTTATACTATTCTAATGGTTTTCTATAAAGGGTAAGACAGAGATACATTTTTAACTAGTTTTATACAGCTCTTTACATTATACAAACTATAAAAAAATCTAGGAATCTTCTCTTATACCAGGCGCATTATTTACTCACATTAAATTGTACTTAAGGTAAACATAATGGTTTGCTCGGAATTCTAATCCATTACCTTATCAATAATGGTATTACCTAGGTATTGCCTTGGCATTTTAAGTGTAAAGAAAGAGGTTGTTCTCACAACATGTTCATGTAAATTTCATTAATGTAAAGAATGGAAACCAAACAATATAGTTTGATTGACTGACTAAGGATCGGTTTTTCCAACATTCAATACATTTTAACTGCGGAATAACTTTGAATAGGTATTTGACTTTCATACTAAAAACTTTCAAATGTCAATTTTATACTACAGTTAAAAATTAACCCTTCTTTGCAGCTTCTAGTTATATGAAAATTAACAATATTTATTGTGTTTTATTTTTTTTATACATAATTAACGATTTCTAATAAGAATTTTTCAATAATATAAGAATTTCTTATTCCAATATCATATAAGAAAAATATTTAACATATCTCCTCTAATTCCAGTAGATAAATGTTATTATAGTAAAGGTATTTTAATTGTAATACAAATAAATAAATATTTCATTTAATATTTCACATGCTTAAATCCAATTTCATTTTATTCTTAAAAGCCTAGAGGTCAAGAGAATCAGGCACAGATACTGATATAATATTTAAAATCCTTATTGCATATACTTATTAGGCTTCTTTTAGAATAAGTCAGATGCATACAAGTGGCAGTTATGAGTATGTAATAGGTAATTCTGCATTTGACCTTCTTGAAGCCTGTTCATATCATGTTCAATGCATGTTAGTACTGAAGTAGTAAGCCTAGTACTGAAGTATTCAATATAGAAAACATAAAATAACTGCAATCATAACTTAACTCACTTCAAAGGCCGAAAAGTATGCACACCTACGATATCAGGAAATAAAAGACATTATATTGTGTTATATTCTTTATTAGATAGTAAAACATACTTTAACTCGTCGAGTACCGTCATTATAGACACAATTGTAGAACAATAGGTTGCGGTCACCGGTGACCGCTTGGTGTTTGACAGTTTAAACAAACATGCTTCAATGCCAGGCTGTGATTAAATAATATTTTTAGTTTACCCATTAATTGCATGGTTGCTGTAGTGGCTGGGCAACCGGCCCCTGCGCAATTTGTTGTAGATTTGTTCTTATACAGAACTGGTTTGGGTGTATATGAATGTATATTTGTAAACACACCTAAAACACAGCAGAAGGACCTAGTGTAGGGCCACAAATGAAATATTATGTTTATTAGTATAATTAACACTTTCATTAATTGCAGGGCTGGTGTTGAGAATAGTGATGAGTCGACACCGGCCGAGGTGAATGGTGATGCGGACGATGAGTACTTAGATTGTGGTAAAGCAGTTAACTTTACATATTATGATAACCTGGTCGGAGTGGCCAGACGCCATAGACATCCCAATGTACCTGAACCACAGGTAATATATGAATTATATTTTATTTTTTAATAGTCCTCCTTGTTCTAAAATGAGTTTGAATAATAATGCCTAATGTTTTATAGACTTTATGGATTTGTTTAACATAACAGACAGAAAGTGTATGATCATACTATTGCTAGGTGCACCTTTGTCATCATTTTTACCTATTTATTATTCTTGACAAACATGTGTGTTGCGGCTTAGTAACATAACTCAAACTCAATAGTGTGGTTTTTTTTGAGGAGAAAATTTATCGAATGACTTTTCCCGCCTTGGTTTAGACGAGACTGCATTGTCAGACTCTTACTGAATAAAAACTATCCCTGGCAACCCTTTAGGCCTTTCGCGGTCAATTGCATTGTTGGCGCAGTGGTTGGGCGTTAAGCGACTGCTAACATGCCGCTGCCTGGTAGGATTCTCGCTCGGAATGGTTTTTTATTTGTGTGTCATGCACATATTTGTTACTAGTTTACTTTACCTAGTTGTCCTCTTATTCTGTGGAATCTAAATTTGTAAACGCTACAGGAATATTTTTTCAAACTACCTCCTATAAGTTGAAAACATAAATAATTATAATACAGGAAAACTTTCATTACAGTTGATGCAAAAAACTACGGTTCTATCACTGCATTTATTTTACCAAAAAAAGAATAAATATTTGCTGTGCAAACAACACGAGTATACAATTACTTAATCTAAATACCTCCATGTCATTTTTACTACAGCTCTTTGTAAATTAGATTTTGATATGAATGTGATAAGATTATGGTCCTATCTATTATCTGTACTGCAATAAAACTACATGAAATCGCCATAGAATAATACGCCATAGTTTTATTATAATATGATACAATAATATATTATATTTTCATTCTTATAATCGTAGAAATACCTATATAGGAATTCATTGTTATATTAAATGCCTATGATAACAGAAGACAAAACTCATACAGATAAGTAAGAGGTCTGTACTAAAAACGGTTCAGCAATTTAGGCATAAAAGCTTAGCAGACAAAAACATTATCATGAGGTGTGTGTCTAATGTGACTATGTGACACAATTCGCCCCTTCATCCCCAAAACCCTAACTCTCAAAAGACCGGCAACGGACTTGCAACTCTGAATTTGCCATGGGCGGCACCGTTACCATAAGGTGATTCTATAATAACTATCGTGAGACGCACTAAATTAACGAAGAATCGCGGGTTACTCACGTGAACATACTAAAAAAAGTTTTACTAGTTTCGAACCACAGAGGGGTTCTTCCTCATGAGCAGCGTGCGCGGTCGCGGCGATGTTGCGCAGCCTACTCCTACAGCAGCTTATTACCTCTCCAGTAGAGTTTGAAACTAATAGAGCTTTTCTCAGTATGTTCACGTAAACAACTCGCGATTTTTAGTAAGTAAAGTAATTCGTCCGGTCGTTTGCCTCCCATCCCCCCCAAAAAAAAACTATTTCCCGATTTATGCATATAGAATTTTGGGACATTAATTTAACCGTTAAGGTAATAATGCCGTTCTACTACACATATTATTGGGTAACACAAATAAATGTTTATATACAGATTGTTTTTAATGTTTTCCTGTAAACAAATCCAGATGAGGAAAATTGTCTCGCAACTGATCGTAATAGCAATATAATTTATAATGTCGTTTGAGGAAATTATTATTTTGTTTTTTGTTTAGTTAACTAGTCTATTGTGTTTATAAATCCTGTGGATTTTTTGTGATAATAAATAATCCATTGACGCTCCCATAGTGTCTCGATAAGAATGCATTCTTAAGATATCGACTTGTAACAACTTAGCTGGATACCTATATTATCTTGCGTTGTTATTGTTAATGACACAACCGACTAATCACGAATTTATAGACAACAGCAGCAGGCTATTTCTACACACCTTTTGTCAAATATTGTTACTTAGGTGTAGGTACTTACAAACTTACGATGCATTCCTTAATTAAAAGCAGAAAATGCTTGTTTGTGTTCCTATAAAACACTAACCGTTTTTTAGATTTGGAGTAAGAGCAAAGGCTTTGTAGATAAGTCTAAAACTATTGGGTCATGAACCACATAACCTGCATTCTGAACTTGTCTACAATTTTATCGTCATTTAACAAAATAATCTTGTTCCAGGTGTCCCTAATATTCCCAAAGAAGAAATCGAACGGTCTATCACCGTCAGAAATAAATGGTTTCGAGAAACGTCTAAAAAAAGCAAAGAGAGAGAAACCAAAGTCTGTACAACTGTACAACCAGATTGGGAACTTCTGGAGGATCAAGGGCGATACGAGACAGTCTATAGAGTGCTTCAGACGCGCTCTTGCCGTCTCACCATATAACGCAGAAGTAAGTACTTAAGTTCCTATTGCATATTTGATGATGATTATGGGCCCCGAGCGTGGTTTGAAACTAGTCGAACTACCTCATCTGGCATTAAGGACACATAATTAATTTAATATGTCTTGCAATAGTTATAGTAGATGCAAAGACAATTGATATTTCTGTGACTCACATTGTTGAACTGTACCTATGTTATCGAATTTTACTCACGTTTGGTAATACATAGCTTCACCGCTACTACAATAGGAATATTTGTCTATTCTACACAATTATTGTCAAAAATTTGTACCTAACCCATTGAAGGATAAATAGATGCGATGTTACGTAGTATATTAATAGATTAAACATACTATGGTGAAACAGGATGTCGATGATGTAGTTCAGACACCTTATACTTTGAACTCTATATAGCTTTAAGCAAAACTGTATATTGTTTGAAAAATTTTACTGTTTGAAAATCCTTACTAATATTATAAATCGGAAAGTGAGTTTGTTTGTTTGTTCCGCTTCCAAGCCGTAATTACTAAACCGATTGCTTTGAATTCTTGCAGACGTAAAGTTAGAATTCTGTATTAAATAATAGGGTACTTTTTATCCCGGAAAAATTTGATATTCTCGAGGGAAAACGAAATTATTGGTATAGATGGCGATGTGTGTATGGTATTTGTCACATAGGCTACTTTTTACCATTTTGTGACGCGAGCGAAGCTACGGGTAAAAGCTAGTAATTTATATTTTATTTTTATTATACTTTTGAGTAACAAATAAAGAAGGAGGTTGTATGTTTGTCCGCGGTGATCTCGCGATTAACCGAACTGATTTTGATGCAGTTCTCGGAAAAGTAATTGTTGCAATTCGGAGCAGGTTTCAGTACATGTATTAACGGAATTAAAATACAGAAGGTTGAATTCGGTTTTTTTTTTAATACAGCATGTTATTGGAAATTATTCTAGAATCTAAAATATACGTATACTACACCTGACCTACTTCATGTATACGTAATTCCATATTCATACAAAAATATGTTACATAAATTACTTAAGTAAATATTACGCATGTGACCTTTAGAAAGGACAGTAGGAACGAGGTTACCAGGTCATATCATATTATGCGTCTTCATTTATTTACCTTTTGTACGTTTAATCAATAAGGAGTAACGCAGTAACGAAGTAATGTAGTAATGAAGGATTATTTTATAATAGAAATAAATTAGAAAATTCATATCGGAAAGTAACTTAACTCGTCGAGTACCGTCAATATAGACACAATTATAGAACAATAGGTTGCGGTCACCGGTGACCGCTTGGTGTTTGACAGTTTAATATATCCAGACAAACATAAAAGCTCACGTAAGTATGTAAGTTAAATTGCAGGAAATTTGGTATAGATATCTAACTTTAGAAGGAATTTTATGAACGTGCGGAAAAACCATTTACCTCGTTGACTATTCGGTACACACATTGTTTGAGGTCAGGATAAAGCATATTTGCGGAAATAAATGTAATAACTTTTAAAGTCATATATAACTTGGTATTATAAAGTAAATGGGCGATTGTTCTACTTTAGGTACGTTCCGTATATAACTAGATAAGATATTTTTGGCCCATCAACGAAGAAATATAAAATCAACAGTAGGTACGCCACTAAAACCGAAACATTGCTACAAGATCCGAAAAATTGCATTCAGTACTCGATACCCAGTACCCACAATTTACAATTCACAAAATTTCAAAAAAGAAAAACATTCTAACTGCTTTGCTACGTAGATTAACTCGTCGAGTACCGTCATTATAGACACAATTATAGAACAATAGGTTGCGGTCACCGGTGACCGCTTGGTGTTTGACAGTTTAAGTTTCAACCTTAAAATTAAGAACATAAAGGTGCAAAATTGCCAACAAAAGTATTGTCTAGAACAAACATTAATTTGGTCACAATAATGAAAATTATGAAACTATAAAAGTTTTTATGAGTTTTTTTATTATTCGTCGGTTATTGGACATCTAATTAATTACTTGATACAGTCCAAAATACTCATGTAGGTATTGGTATTATTATGTACTTACCTTCAGAACAAATTCATTATGGTTTTAATGGATTACTGTCTGTATTTTGTGTCATAAGCTTATTATTATTATCTATCTTTTTGCATTTTTTTTATGGAATAAACCGGTAAACGAGCAGTTGTATCACCTGATGGTAAACGTCACCCATGGACACCAGGAACACCAGAGGCGTTACAAGTGCGTTACCGGCCATTTGGGGATTAAAAGTTTGAGGATCGTTGGGGATTCAGGAATTGGGGAGATTGGGGAAGGGGAGGAGGGTAATCTTTCATTATCATTCTTCACAAATTCCATTTACAATAACCAAAATATTCTTCCCCAGGTCCTGCTAAACCTTGCAAGGGTACTATTCACCCTACAATACTTGGACGACGCAATCTACCTAACGCGACGGTCGTTAGAAGTCCAGCCGCCAGATCGCAGCGCGTGGCAACAGTATTTCACGCTCGGCGAGATATTCAAGGCATATGGACATTATCAGGTATGTTGGTATTCAATATTGAACCTTATTTACTAAGTTACATTGTTCAGATTTGATTAGTGTTTGGAGTGATTTTCTGCTGTCTTGTGATTTTAAAGGCTGTTTGTAAATGAAGGATATGGAATCTTTTATAGATTTTGTTTATAGTGTTTCCTAGTACAGAACTACAGACTGGAATTTAACAAAAAAGTGTGAAATATGCTTAAATGATTCCTTTATGGGAAGAAAATAGTTTAACAGTTGTGGAGACTCTATTACACGCACAAATGTCTTAAGCATCAGCCGCTTCTGCGCAGGCCGTTAATGAATTACCCACAATTATAACAACACAATGGCGTTAGATTTTTTATAGTTAACCGATTACTTAATTGACGATGGAAAAATGAAAAATGCATAAACGTAAACACCGTTTCTACTAAAACGCAGATAATGCAGACAATAAAATGTTATTGATATGAAATAAGTTCTCAGAATAAAAATTAATTTCAATTTATACATCGACAACCCACTTTAAAGGTTTGAAACAGTACATCAGTGGATCTAACTGTAATTATGTTACGTGACGTCACAAAAATGTAATTAACAATATTGTTCCAAAATGACAATGACAAAGTTATGTGCTCATTATGTTTAGTGCTATTTATTTTAACACTGATGTCCTTTGCGTTCAAATTACAAACTTGTTTATTTAATTATCCTACTGAAAGTACATTGACTTTGTCAAAATTGTAGGAAAAGGGTAACAAAAATACTCTACGGTGGGGAATTACCAAAGGAGTTGAGGGATTCCCGTAAAATAAGCTAGGAACAATTGGGATGATGATAGGGTATGAAAATTAAAACTAATTAGACCGTAAGTTAGGTAATGAAAAAATATTAGACACGTATTTTTTTATTTTGTCGTATAATAAAACAATACTCAGATAAAACGAATCAAAGTTTAGGAGTGGGCGTATAAAATGTACATAGAAGTGACGTCACGCGACATTTCAAATCAATATATCGTCGAAAGTATGCGTTTCTGTAAGAAAATAAAAAATACGTGTCTAATGATTTAAAAGAATCTACCAGACGGACATTAAAATAAAAATTTGTCATCTACCCTATTCAACTAGTCCTTATTATTTTTTCACCTCAAAAATAGAGGACGATCTGTTGATTATAATTAGTTTGAATATACATAATTGTTTATTTGCTTGTATCCCCTTTGCTGCATAAACATACTTCATTGCTGCTTCAACACCTGTGTGACTGTATACCCTTCGGCAGGAAGCGGCAATGCACCTGAGACACGCTCTGGACTTGAAACCGGACTATGAACCCGCTATGGCCGCATTGAAAGATATCGAGAACACGCCAGAAGCATCAGTGCATGTCTATACACTCCTTATAATTGTGTGTTTGGTAAGCATGTGATTTTTTTTATACTTAGAAATAAGAAAGATAGGTCTTTGACCTTTGGCTCAAACGGCTAACCTCTTTGTACTGTCACGGAGAACGTAACGGGTAACCGGGGCTCCGGCTCGACGTGCAGGAGAAGGAACGGGGTGGTTTTTAGTCAGTAAGAGTCTGACACTCCCTCCCGCCTCACCCAGGCGGGAACAGTCATTCGATGATTTCCCCACTTAAAAAAACCTCTTTGTACTGTATTATGAACACTATTTTTTAGATTCTTCGACTTCAAAATTGATAGTTATCCCAAAGTAAGCCACAGGTTTCCAGTAAGACTTAAAATAACGTACCTAACAGGCGAAAAGTGTTTAAATTGTAAGTACCTCTGCCTACACCTTCAAGGAATCGTGTACGTGATCATCCAGTTAAATATCATCATGAGAATAGAATAGCGATGTTATAAATGGCTTGAGAATAAACTTAATTTATCATTTGTCAAAATAATCTCTAGTCTTACGATATATCTAGTCGTAGTAGTTACCGAACTCATTTATATTGATAGCAGTTTCAATTAATCAATCAGAGCAGGTCGTTATTGAATACGGTTTTGATATCCTATTCTCGATATATCAGTCCTTAGGTGAATAAGTCCTTGGCGTCATTACGAACAAATAGATCGATTTATTGAATGTTATGAACGTAGGAATAGAATTAGAAATTCGTTAATCATTGTCGTGACAAAATTCTTCTTGGGAAATTGTCTAATATGATTATTGTATTGTATTTGTTTAAAAAAAAAACAAATACAATAGTCATTAGGATTTTCTCCTGTATCGTGGGTGGTAAACCCACATACAATTTTATGCACATAACCGAAAATAATAATTTCTGGATCGCACAAATAGTTGCTCCGTGTAGTAATCGCACTACACTTTGTGCGGCAACTGGTCGCCTAGCCATCGTGCTATACGTGGAGCCAATATGACTTGTATATGGTCATTTCGAAAAAAGTAGAATAGTTTAGTTTAGAACCTTAATGACCGAACTCGGTCTTCAACGGTTCGCATCCACTGCCAACAACCATAGCAGATATCGTCACTCCATGTTTGCATAGACGCGGAGGATCGGAGGCCCAATTACCCTCCCCTTCCCCAATTCCTGAATCCCCAACGATCCTCAAACTCCTAATCCCCAAAAGGCCGGTAACGCACTTGTAACGCCTCTGGTGTTCCAGGTGTCCATGGGCGACGCCGATTGCTTACCATCAGGTGATCCGTCTGCTCGTTTACCGGCTTATGCCATAAAAAGACGCACATTCAAATTAGAAAATGCATACCAAAAACAATAAAACACTAAACTACATACTCAATTAAACGGACGATAAATTAAATGAGTATCATGAAACGATATCGTTTATGACCGCAAAGGAAATGAGGTTCGCCATATCCGAAACCCATGTCATAATTTGTTTACCGATGTCCACCGGTAAATATGTACGATATGTTGATGTTGATAGCACATTGCCTAGCCAGAATGCAACATCCACGTTCAACGAGTATGGGTAAACATTTCTGTTGAACAATTTTGTAAATGTTTACTATTTTTAGTTAAGTTTGGTTTTGGTCTGGTTGTAGTAAATAGTAGGAGTAATAAATTGAGCTTTGTCGTCCCTCTTTGGCCGAGTGATCGCAAGTGCGACTGCCGGGCAAGGGGTCGATCCCCGGCTCGGGCAAAGTATTACTGAGTTTTTAAAATAATCTCAGTAGTAGCACGGAGTCGGAATTGTGCTCGGTATATGGCAATAGGCTCACCCCCTATTACATGGGACTCATAACATAAATAGTGAAAAGTAGGTGTTACATTGTACAGTGGCATAATGTACACCACTACCTATACCTACCCCTTCGGGGATAAAAAGGCGCGATGTTACCTATGTTATGAGACTGTCGTGCGTGCTAGCTTAAAAAAATTTTTCTTTTACGTTTAGGTAACGAGTGTTGTCTCTTAGAGATCAGATCGCCCACTCCCTCAGATCAGACTTTGATCTAATATTATCTAAGTATTTACTATCCGAATTATCTGATTTAAATAAGATATTAGTTTTGTCTCTAAAGTTGAACTCGCATTGATGTAGAATCGAAAGCGAAACATGACTCATTCGTGATTATGAAATACTACTTTTACGCACAAAATGTGTCAATGTTGATTTAGTCTGACCTTTTATGAAAACGTTACCGACTGACTACTCATGTAATGTAGCTTGGACAGAATAATTTTAGCATTCATACCAAACAAATCATAGGTAATGGTACCCAGATAGTATACCTATACGTAGACTAAGAACCTATTGGGTGTACCGGGGCTCCGGCTCGACGTGCAGGAGATGGAACGGGGTAGTTTTTAGTCAGTAAGAGTGACACTCCCTCCCGCCTCACCCAGGCGTGAGCAATCATTCGATGATATTCCCCCCTTGAAAAAATACGTAGACTACAACTCGGTATAAGTACTTATATATATTAAGCTACTCACTACTCAGTCACTCAATGATTTTCCCCCGATAAAAAAAAAATAGCTACCATCCTTTGGCTACTGTCAAAACTATTCAACACATATACAGTATTTTCACCCTTATCCATAAAAATTTGGTTAGCTGCTGGCTTCTATTCCAACCTAAGAAAATTGTAACGAAGGCAAATTTTCTCTAAATCGATTTGTTTCTAGTGCGTTATAAAATAGGAACACGCTCGATCTAACATGGTCACTCAATCTAGAATTGTGCGTTAGGCGTAAATTAATCATTTTGTCACACTTGAAAGGTTAAGCAGAGGTTTTACAAACTTACAATCGTATTAAATAGGTATACTAAGTAGAAGTGCTTACATAAACGAAAACATGAAACTAACTACTGATTAAAATCATTTTATTATTTTATTATTATTACATAACTCTTTGTCTATTAGCACTTATAGTCTCATCAGATCCTCTTAAAAATTCAATAAAATTAACCCCAATTATCTACACTATTGCAGGTGATGGGAGTGTTACTGGTGATATTATCGTCAGTAGACAGTGGCGGTGATGTAGAAGAGCATAAGACTCAACGACATTTCAACCGAGCTATGGCGATGCGGTCCCTTCGCGGCGTGGCTCTACCCGGCTCCCGTGGACGCAAGAAAGGCGGATCCTAAACCCCCATCTCTAGCGATAAAAACCTGAGTTTATAGTCTCTGGTCGTGTTCCTAAATTGATTTGTTGTGGCCAGTCACATTGTTGTGGAACCTTTTTTGAAATAATTATTGTCTCTAATGGTGAATAGATGTTTCGAATGTCAGTATTTTACTTAGTGGTTTTCCGTAACTGAACTTTTAATGTCAATCCGATATTAGGTATTATTATAACATAACCCTTTGACTTCGCCACTGTCGGGTATAAAATAAAGTCCATCAGATGTCCCTTAGTAATGTGACTGTACTCAAAACTAAAGAACATTGTCTATGTTCAACACTTGTGTTCAAACTTTTTTTAATATTATGAGTAAAATTGTCTGTGTATCAGCTAGTAGTGCTGAGATAAAATGGATTATAAAAAAGCAGACATTGCCAACAATAAAAATGGAAATAAATAAATTCCAGTTTATTTAGTTCTTAAGTTATTTCGCTCTTATGAAAAAGATCCGTAGGGCAATATTTTTTTACGCCCAACACCGGATCTTGTTTTTTTTTTTTGTTTGTTGAAAGGAGATTGTAAACACAGGATGTATGAACAACTGTCATTACAAACATTTAAGGCTTGATAAAACAAATAACGAGTGATGTTGTCTTATAGCTACAATGTTTTATTATAATCGCTATTGACCCGTGGGATATCGATGAAACCGTTGTTATGGTACTGTTCTCTTAAATTATTTTTGTTTTGTTTGTTACATTTCACCGATAATAACATGTATTTCATCAAGTTAACTTTTTGATATAGTAAATTTACTCGTCTATAAAGTGTTAGTGTATTTATCTATTACGACTTGTTTGTCAAAATAGTTCAATGTTTTTATAATGATTATCGTGAGATATACTAAATTGACTAAAAATCGCGCGGGTTACTTACGTGAAAATACTGAGAAAAGCTCGTAGAGCTTTAAAGAACCTCTTTGTGGTTCGAAACTAGTAGTAGTTTCGAACCACAGAGGGGTTCTTCCTCATGAACAGCATGCGCGGTCGCACCGATGTCGCGCAGCCTACTGACGCTGCGATTTTTAGTTAATTTAGTTCAATGTTGGTATTGTCATAGAAGGAAGTACTTAAAATTTAATTAATTATGTCCAACTTGGTGATTATTTTTTTTTAAATAGCCGTTAAACCTGAACATATCTATTCCATATAAGAAATTACTTAGATATCAGTTAACTTGATGACATACTATATCTATCCTTTTGTGTTGTGATATAACTAACTCAAGGTTCTGATGCTACGACATTACAATGGCTGGTTGTGCTAATAATTTATTAATATATTTATGTATTTACAATTTAATGGAACAGTGCCATCAATCAGAGGCTAATGTACAAAATATTCTTTATGTAAATGTGACCAGAACGGTCTTGCCATGTCTCATTTGATCTCTGCTTGTAGTCCTCATCACGTCGCGGTCATACTGACGTGGTGTACCCTTTTAGCAGTTAAAAAAATCATAAAAAAACAGCTTTTCAGTAAATTTACCTTTTATAAATTAATACGATCTACAAATCCACTCCGTTCTCGTTTAATATATTTGTATCTTAAGGTAAGAATGTTCTTTTTAACAGAAATAATGCTTTCGATAAGCAATAATAGTTAAATACTATTTGTAGCTAGTTGATAATATTCGAATAATGAACAAGCTCGAATTTTCAAGTTAAATGTTGTTTACGGAGTTATTGATAATATTTGAATACTATGCAGTAATGTATTACAGAAAATGAACAATATACTGCTATTATATGGAGTGTACACGTAATCCGTCAAGTTTACGAAGACAAGAGATGGTAATGGCGTGCCTGTCTTGCAACGAGCGTATCACTTTTGCAACCTAGTCATTCACTTAGACAAGTTTGGCCCGCGCAGAGTCGGGGCCTCGTGTGTGTATTTCGTTTAGTAGTGCATGCAAATAAACTTGTTAAGTGTTCGTAGCGTCTAAGGATTTAAAACGGAGGAGCAAGTCTTAAATTCGAGATTGGTAAAAAATGTACCTGTTTTCAGTGGTTCTTTTGTTAATTTTTGACTATTTATAATACATGATTGTCCTAGCATCTATGTTTGTATTTTTTCTTATCCTACCTACAAGCATAGGCATATTATGGTCGGTTGAACTTTGCAATATACTTGCCTACTGATACATCTCATATTACGCCACAATACCGCAATCAATCCTTCACTTTATTTATATCCATTTGTATTACCTACCTATATCATTGTATACCTTGTAATCGAGGCGAGTGTGTGGTCTTGAAACTGAAATAGACCTATTATGATACCTACTCAGCTCGACCCTGGAATCGAACTCTAGTTCGGTTGTCACGCTTGCTCTGCTCAAACAACAAAGCATTCTTTTTTACATAGCCTATCCTTTTATTCAGAAAGAGTAAAGCAGAAGTTGTTTCTTATCATGTGGGCAAAAGCCATACTTCGACACAATAAGGGCTCGACCGAGTGATGCCATGTCTGGAAATCGGTGTCGGTGAAATATCTTGGTAACTTCTGTAGTGTCGAGGGTCCACGGCATCGATGCTTACCATGTGATAAAGTCCTACCCATGTCGTAAAAATAAAGGTTAAGATGGCCCCATTATATAAGTAGGTACTTATGTAGACTTTGAATTTATATATTACACTAATATTGTAAATATCAAAGTTTCTTGGTTTGGGTGTTTGTCCTTCAATCACGTTGAAACTACTGACCGGATTTTGATGCAATTTGGTACTACTTTTCATCCCGATTAAATGATCCCGTGGGATAAAACAGCAATCATATTCTACGCGGATGAAACAGTTGGCAACAGCTAGTCTATTAATATATCTAGCAAACTTAATCCAAGATTGAACTCTTCATACTCGACATCGACAATGTCTGTTTCATCACTGCTGAGCAAAGCCTCTTCTCGGAGACGAATTGAGCGTTAATCAGCACGCTTGCTCAATGCGGATTGGCAATTACTTACAAACTTATAATTGTAAATTATATGCCCAGGTATCCACACGATGTTTTCCTTCGCTGTTTGTCAGTGGTGTCTAGATAATCTTAGAAAGTACATATAACTCGGAAATATTTACATTGGTACATGCCGTTGGTAGGTTTCGATCCCGCACATTCATGCATGAGAAGCGGGCGTCAAGCCTCCGGGCCACCACGACATTTTTATATGTGTGTTTGGTAGACTAAAATCCAATAAAATAGTAACTACTATAACAATATTTTATTACAATTAGTGGGCAGCAGAGAAGAAGGAATACTTATGTTAACTTAAAACTACACAGGACAACTTTACGAAGACATTTATATAAAAACAACCATGAATAAAAAATTATAATGTATTTATTATAAAATGTATACATGTAACTGAAAAAAGAGTCCGCCGTACTTTCACTTAAGCCATCTCAAATGTCTAAGCAGAAATGCATGCCAAATATTCATATGATAATGTACAATTTGAATTTATTTCAAAAATATGCAATTGATCATTACTTATACCTAGTTAACCAAAACAATAGCTGTTCGACATAGCGTGGCGACGATATTAGTACGAATAGTTTACTTGATCGATATCTTGTGATGTTTAACTTATTAGGCGGCAATGTCGTGAATGCCTAGGCGAAACAGGTCGTGTTGTACAAAGAAGGAGTCTCCAAGTGGCTTCAAAACGAATGTTTGCATGTACGGGTGTGGGGGGTCGTCGTCGCACTGAAATAAACATATTTACATTACAATAGCAGTCACCATATTGAACACAGCCAGTGAATAAATCATTTAAGAAAGAGGTAAAAGGTTTAATATTAATTTCATCCTAATAGTAAACAGTGTAGGGGATGCATTCTGGCACTTCAATTAACCAAACTAGGAAATTAGTTATTATATTCTAATTAGAAATAGGAAGTTCTTGTCATAACATTAAATTAGTAGGTAGAGTTATCATAAAAAGCAGGGAAAAAAATCTGTAACTCTATTTGTCACACAGCAAATCAGGATAAACAATATCATGACTGTGCACAATAAAATCTAACAAAGTTATTAGAATTGGAACACTATAATGTAGTATTTTTATTTACGTACATGCAGTGAATGGCTGCATACTGCAACATAACAGACACATTATGAACCATAAGCATTACAACTTTGAGCACTTGTGAGATTGTCATATTAAATATTGATATTATAATACATTCTTGCTTCTGCCATGTTGCCAGGCTGCAGCCAAATAACATTCAAGAGCTACATGTAACATTTGCATAAAAACGGAATCCAGTAAGACAGAATGACAACAAGAGCAACAAATCTACCTAACTTATCTGACCTTCACTGTTACCTTTTGTTATTTCTCTCTTTATATCTGACAGTATCATAATCCAATTATAATTATAGACTTAGAGTAGTAATGTTGCATTGTTAAAAGGTCTAAATTAGTATGAAGGGAAAATAAAAAACTGTTTTATTTACGAGACATGATGAGCCTTATTGTAAAAAGGGATCATGTGCCAAGCGGTGTGGTAGTGCATTATCTAGAAGCACTAAGGTCTACTCTTACTTTGTATCTGTTGATAAAAGTAATTAAACGTTGTGAAGTGCCAGCCTGAACATGTCGTGTTCTACATAGAATGAGTTTGCTATTGGCTTCAGTACAAATGTTTGAAAGTATGCATGGGGTAGGTCATCATCCGTCTGTTTTGAAAGCAATAAATGTGGTTTAGGATTACATTATCCATTCTAATTTAATCTTAATATTATGAGTTCAATTACTTGTGTCTATAGTTCTTACTCATCATATTTAGTAGAACTTTAATCATTCTTTAACTATTTACCACACATGAGAAAGTAGTATGGGCATATCCATATAAAAATTTAGACCAAAATTGAAGCTTAATGATACTATAAGCTTCATACAAGTAAATATACGAACCTGGAGTTGTCCAAGAACATTTATTAGTACACCACCATCAAACATGGGCTGAGAGTCAACAGCGGTTATAATCCTTCCAATTTTTTGAAACGCTAAACTCTGAAATCAGAAATGTTATGTGTAAATAACACATACATAATATGCATTCTAATATGACTTTATCAAAAAGATTTATTAATTTCATTGACATTGTAATACATTGTTTATTTTTCATTCTGACAACTCAAAGTCAATGAACTAAGATAATGTGATAAGGGATATGAATCGTAGCCACATACATTTAACTTTTCCATTATTTTCACTGCACCTTGCAATTGAACCCCCTCAAAGGTCATAAACGATGTTTCAACCTGTAACAAGACACATGGACACAGTTAAATACATACTATAATAATATCAGATTCAATGCAACAGTGGGGCTCCTATTAGGATTCCCGAGTGAGTCATAATTTGTTTTGATCGAACACCATGTAAATGCTAATTTACTGTTACTGACTCTTAGTAATCATAGAATGACAACACGTTCTATTGAAATAACTAGGAAATTGTGAAATTGACATGCAATAAAGTGTTTTTTCGGCGGGAGCAACGGGATAACCTAAAAGTAAAACCAAATTTTTTTGAAAATTAAGTTCTGCTTACAGCAACGATATTGAATTCTTAATGTAACATGAATGCTAACTACATGAAATACTCACGTTATACATATTCACTAGGTTTGGTCGCTGTGCCGGATCGTCGAACAGTGTGTAATATTGTTGTACAAATCCCTTTCCAATTGCATCGTATTGCGGGTTCAACGCCATTTTGACAATATATATTTACCTAAATTTCACTAAAACACCCTAAAATCACTTTCAATATTAAAATGCAGGCCTTTTAGGGGGCTTTTGCATACCCTGGAAGGCTTTCTTTTTGTCGCACAGAAAAAATGGCAAACCGTCGTTGGTGTTGCCCGTGTATAACCAC